GGGATAAATCACAGCAGGCAGGTCCCTATGCCAGAGATTTCTGAGTTTTCACCACAAGGGCAGTATGCTTCTAGCAGCAGTACGTACATAATCAACGACAAAGAAGGAAACTAAATTCACTCATATTTTTTGTTACGTTTTAGTTTTAGATGAAGTTGGTGGTAAAGATGATGAATCGTCATCGAACGCGTTGAAAACACGAAGTCTTCCAGCATGGGTCCGCTCAAAACCGAGACCTCTGTCGACTGAAGATGATTTGAACGATTTGTACGCTAAAGTAAGTGCAGTCCCACCATCTTGAAACCACATTTTACCCATAATATTTTTTCAGGTTAATTTTAGCAAAAAACGGAAAAATCGAATGCGAAACGACGAAGCCGCAATCATAGCGCTGAGCAAATCACAATATCTGCACAAAGACACTGACACGTTGGTCGATAACGAAGCAGTGATTGTTTATGACGAACGAACGGCCTTATAAACGAAACATAAAGCCTATTTTACTAAAATGCGACGAAAAAATAAGATAGTATTGACCACGTGTACACCACGTGACTGATATTCGTAAATATTTTAATGTTTGATGTCAACTTTTAAATCGCAATGAACTTAATCAAGTTAATTAATCGAAGGCAGAAAATATCACTTTTCATATCTTTACATGAAAATTAAATGACGAATTTTGAAGCGAATTGAATTGCTACGTGAAAGACTTGCAGATTGACAAATAAGAAATATTTATAATGTACTTTACAAATGCGAACGAATTTGTCAGGTTTTATCAATCACCTTAATTAAAGTAGCATTATCATAAACATGTACACATACAAATATCAAGTAGACAAAAATAACATATTTTCTCGCAACATTCAGTAAAAACTTTACTCTAATATTGAAAATATCGAAATATATTGTGACTCTGAATATTGAAAATACGTTTAATAGTATCATTGTTTTATAGACTAGTAGTTAATAGAAACCCAAATTCTGTGATAATTATTTAACCGTTTACTAAAGCGTAATTCTCTTCATAGTATCTTGCAAATAACCAAATTTCGTGTAAGTTTAACAACACTGAAGCTTTGTCTTCAAGTGCAAACTACAAAATTCAGGCCCACTATCCGCGTATACACCAGATCATGTAGACGCAATTGCCAATTATCGATTGAATGGACGGCAATTATTTTGTAATCGGATTGCCTGTTTTTTACCTGATTTTGGACAAGTTTGCTATCGCGCGGTCTACGTGAACAGTGGGTCTTGATATAATATTAATTTATCACACCATGTACAATTAAGCACTAAGATTTTTAAAAGACTGCCTAACGACCTAACGAAAAGCGTATACTTAGGGAGCTTTTTCGCATAAACGTGTTAATAACAAGTTGGTAACTTCTAATGGATTTTATTATAAAAAAATCATCTGGCCTTTTGTCGACCCCCAGAGCTTTCATCACATAAATGTCACTCTTATTTTTACAAACTTCATCCCTAATAAGTTGTTTCTATTCTGGTAACAACGTTGCAAATTTACAAACATAACAAAACGCATATATAATTCATCACCAATTAGTAATAAAACATTTACAAACACACTTTATGTAAAACAAATATAATATAATTAATTGCAAAGTCTTCTTAATTGCATTAAGTCGCCTTTTTATAATTCCAGATACGTTTTGTGTATGTTTATTTTAATTTGTGTTATAAAATATATTTACGTTGCCTGAAGTTGAACATGAACGATTTTCAGAAGTTTTGACTTAGATTTGCAGTTGTTTAAGTTCCTTCAGCAAATCACTCTCCCCATTAATCTTTGAGAGTTGATTTATTTCCAATGGCTTACCAGCAGCTTTGTCTGCTTTTAATTTTTCAATTGCATCCAATTTCTAGTAAATATATACAAATTATAGTTATATCGCTAATCATATGTTAATTAACTTACTTTTTTGATGTTTTTGATTTTTTTGTCTTTCTCGACGTCTCCTGTTAGAACAACTTGTACACTACTGATGATAGCCTGTGGTTTAGGATCCTCGGTTTTATCATCGGTTTTCTCTTCGTCCTTACGAGCTTTCTTTGCCTCGCGTTTCTTTCTCTGTTTTAAAGCGTTCTTCGACACGGCAGATTCTTTTGCTTGTTTAGCCGGTTCATGATCATCGTGTAAATTAAATATCACCCCCGGACGATTTCTAGCCGATGGAGGTCTGTAGGCCTGCGTTGATGCTTGCACCTTCTTCGTAGCTATACTCTCAACCTTATCAGTCGAGATCACCGGCTCTTTAAACGTTGTCTTGTCGGCTCTTTTCCACCTAACTTCATACAATTCCTCGACGTCTTTCTCATGCATTAACGCACCACTATAATGCCAAATCTTATAACCATTACCAATTCTCAAACGTGGTGCAGTAGTGGCAGTTAAGAAATGCATCCCATCAGGGCACCATTCCAACATGGTAGTATCTGATGCATCACAGGTACCAATTTGTTTACGTTTAACTATATCCCAAGTCTCAACATTACCCCTCAAGTTGCCAAAGCCGCCAAGTAATAAAATATTGCCATGAGGATTATAATAAATTGCATTGCGTGGCCCTGTGCCCAATTCAAAAATGACTTCAGATTTAAGATTAAAAATGCTAGCCTTGGCTGGCATAAAACCATAAACCACGCAGAATTCATGCCCTTTTGGTGACCAAGCCACAGAATATATCGGGCCTTCTTTGGCAAGAGTTATTACGTTCGTGGAACCGTTGATTCCAATGAAATGCAGACTTTGCTTGCCGTAATACGACTTTCCGGTTTTGTCCTGTTCGGTGGTAGTCAAGAGAATGCAATGTGTTCCCTTGCTGTTCCAGAAATACTCGACGCTGTCGGCGTTAAAGAAACTTTTGCATGCGAGGGCTTGTTGAGCTTCAAATTTGGGATATGCGAAAAGCCGAGCGAATGCCGGTTGCCCTTTACCGCCAGGCATGTGACAGATCACGTGATGAGCATTTTGAGTGCTACAGATTGAGTAGGACGCCACTTTGAAGCAGTTGATGCGATAGATTATATTCTCAAAATTGCAGTCTTCATAAAAAATTACGTCATTATTTTGCAACTTTGAAAATATTTTCTCATCATCACTCCATTTTGGTTCCCTAAGTTTAATAAAAGTATGTTAAATAATGTGATTTAATACATTAACTAAAACCTACCAGTTAGTTTGTGATTTATGCATAAATCCCTTAACCAACTCTCCATTTTCACACTTGTACAAATGTAGATTTGGAGAACCTTGTGGTTTATCCTTGCTGACCTCATAAGGCTCCCATGTCATCAGATATCTACTCAAGGGAGAAAACACCAGGAAGTAAGCCTTGGTGCCCTCAATGGTAGCAACATCAGTCCATGTATCTGTCCTCCACAGTTTCAGTGTTTGCCCAGAAGCAGTAGCCATGTATTGACCATTTGGTGAAAAACATATTGCCCGACAAGATTTAGTATCAATGGGCACAAACTGGTCAACAGTACCGAACGCCGGCGGACCTTGAGCGACATGCACTCCGGTTGATCCTCGAACTATAAATACATTCCTCATCTCATGACTGTGTTCTAATTCCCAGAATATAATAAAATACTCACCGGCAAATGGAATGGACGTTGCCATCGTTGAGGTTAGGTGGTCAGTGTGGCACGTGTCAAAAAACCATTGCAGATCGTACAGATGGAACTTAGGCTGTCTACAGGTAGAACAAAAAGAATACAGTTATTTTGAGTTAAATTGTAAAAGTCCTATATAAAATCCTTGCCTGCTACACGATGCTGAAAATCAGAGAAGTTCAGCAATTGGGAGCAGTCACGCAATCCCGACCGATGTTCAGCTGTGCGATGACAGTTCATAACAGGAAAGTTAGAACTCAAGAAGATATACAGAAATATTATCCAACAGATAGCGCTGTAAATTTCATAAACTGTTTTTTGATCGAAGTCCTTTAACAGATGGCGCAGTACAAACCGTGTTGTACAAATTCGTTACCCAAAACCACGAAGTATAGATGCACCGATGTATCTATACTTCGTACCCAAAACGAAAAAGTAGCCGAATGTAGCGTATGTTACTAGATAAGTACTAGATAAAACTAGATAATTTAATAATTGTCATTCAATTCCATTAAATTTCATTGATTTACAATTTTTATTATATACTTTATAAGTTCATATTCATTAGTTCATTAGTTTTAACAATTTGCAAACATTTAAAATTCAACTTTCTTATTTAGGTAACACTATTTTATCAATTTTACCACTTGTAGTGCATAAATGCGCGAAATCTAGGAGAAAAATCTAGTTATCACATTAAGAATAGAAAATAGAGAATTGGTACACATTATTTTTGCATTGAATTCAACTTTTTCACGTTACCATAGGTGTGAGTAGACAGCACAATCAAGCTTAAAGTTTAAACAATAACAGATAATTATTAATTTTTCTCACAGAGAGAAGCGCAAACACAATGAATCATTCTCAAATCGCGATTGAAACTATTCCATTAAAGAGTTGAATAGAAGCACCAGATCTATAAAAATTAGAAGAATAAGAGTAGAATAAGGAGTAGGCTTCTAAGTTACTAGGAAATGATCTAGAATGATTATCTACATAACATTCTATTATAAATATAAATGTATCTACCTTATTCTTATAGGTGCAAGCGTGAGCGATGAGGAGTGAATGTGGGAGCAATTTCAAGAAAGAAAGTTATGTGAATCTTGCTCATGAGAATTGGGACCGAGAATAATTGCAACAATAAAAAACTTCAAGAAAGAAAAGCATGAGTTATTACATGATGCTCACGCTGCTTACAAATAATGTTAAATAAAAATTATATTTATGAATCAAATGTTAATTTTTTAATTACTAATAAGTCCTACTCTGGTTTAATTTATTTGCCGACACTTCTGTCATCGTAACTTGTCACTTCTAAGCAACTAGTTGATTAAATTGGCAAGTTATTAGGTATATTGCCTTATGTTTTAATTTACGGTTAAATTAAGATCCAGCACGCTGTGTGAATGAGGAACTGTGCGCAGCCACATACTGGGCGAACTGCTTGTAAATTGTAAAAAAAAAAACGACGATGAGTTATAGACTATTGAATTACGAAGCTCAAGTATTAATATGAGGAACACAATGTGATTGTCAGTTTGTCAGCACCAAGTAAAAAATTTGCCTAACACACGTAGTCGGAAGTAGTCATTCACCAGCTCATCAAGTCGATGGGAATCTGTTGATGACTGCTGTGGTTATTGATAGGTGAATAGAATGAAGGCTTAACATGCTTCACAACGTAATTCATTTAAATAAATTGTAAAATTATACTTAAATTGTGAACATACTTAAATTTGGGACGGCAATAATTTTTACTATGCCAGTGAGATGCGTAATTACAATTATAATTTACATTTTGAAGGCACGAGTCAAAAATGAAAAAAAGTCGGTGACTAATAAGACAAAACAGTTTCAGATTTAAAAGGGGTCATATTTCATAAATGCTATTTCTTTATGCACTCAACTTCCACCCGCAAAGTTTCTTTTTTTTTTTTACTTTGCTAGTCGGTTAACTTGCAAAGTTTCAAAGACTTCAACACACCCGCATCTACAAATCACCAAACGCCAGATGCCAAGGTTCAGGCGGCATAAATTTTCAATCTTTATTCTTTAAATGATGTTAATAAGATCCGAGTAGCTGACGGCTGGCGGATAGTGGGTTGGAGAAGGTCTGGGTATTTTTGGTTTTTACTCGGTGTGCTGTCTTAACTAAAGTAATGTTGATTTAACAAGCAAGCTACAAAGAAGACGACATGCGGACGGGCAAACTGAGCGGTTGACAAGATGACTTGTGACAAAATGACATGCACTATTTTTCTCAAATTTGCAAACTCATAAGAAATGTCGTATAGTTTATTGTGAAGGCAAGAATGCCTAAAAGTCAACAGATGAAAAGCATAGGTATCAAATACTATTGTATGGAATTTATTATAGATTTAAATCAGAAAACACAATACAATATTACCAATTTAGGTATATAGATAAAGGTATATTATTGGAGCAAAAATCAAAAGTCGCAGATTAGCAAGGTGATGTAAAACGTGATCTGATAGCTTTGACGTCATGGCGCATAGTAGCGGAGCGTTTATTAATGTGTGTGTAATATGTATTTTGACAAAAACAAAAAATCTCCATTTCCAACATTCTAAAAACAATCTTAAAATATCAAAAATTAAATAAATCATAAAACATAAATCGATTTTTCGAAATTATAAATGTAATCATAAAAGTTTTACTCTATCAACCTCTTATTTAGCAATTTATAAATCAAATGGCAATAATAATAGTAGGTATAACTGAGTGATCGGGGATAAATATTGTTAACAAAAAATAAGAGTGTTCTAAAAATAAAAATTACAATTGCCGACTGGTGATGAAACGATGAAACAGTGATCTCACATCTCGCACACGTCAATAAAACATCATAACAAGCATTACACGCGCTGCTACCTACTTTATCTCCTACTAAACATTTTAACGTAGTGTAAAAGCAGCCATAAGTAAACTAATAATGCAATATTACGATGGTCTAATAATAATAATAATCATAAATCTTCAATTACCTACATTTATTTTTATATTAAGATTTAAGTGCTCACCTATTTCAGCATCCATGTAATTTATATCCATTTTTTGATTTTATGGTATATTGCAGTACAATTTATGCAAAATCGTCTTTTCTTAGTTAAACATGGAATACTGACATAAATTCGTGATCACAATGAGGAAGTAGGTGCAGAAAAGATTAGGCGTAATCAATTCATAAACGGGATTGCGTGAGAACCGGACTTACCTAACTGTGATGAACAAGTAAGTGTAAAATTTGAACATGATGTAAAAGTGTCGTATTATTCAATTACTTTAATATTCGCAATGCGCTCATTAATATGAGGATAAATAATGCATTTGCAGCAGGTTTTCCAACTTGCAAATTATTCTGTAAATATTGAGGAATACTGGGATTTTACACTTGTAGTCGTGTGGTATTTAATGGTTTCACATTGGTTGATAATGTATATTGCTATGTTTGAATTGAATTATATGGTCATTTATAGCGATGGTATTGATAAATCCAAGTATTTCTAATTTAAAACCATAGAAACTAGTTTTGAAGTTCACTTAATTAGAGTTTTCATTGTATTAAACCTGATTGTTGATTAATTATGAGAATTGATGATCTATGAATGGTAACTTTTATGTAAATTTAACTAATCTAATCTGCTAAATACTTAATGATAAAAATAATTGATAAATACCTCGGTAATACAAAGTATTAAGTTTAACTCAGCAGTAATATTTGTCGGTGCATCTGTCAGACGGTCGATAAATAATAAATCGTTCAGACTGCAGTCTATGGTCAGTCTGATAATTGTGGCGACGATTGTGTGTTTGTACTTTTCATTGGCGACTAGATAGTAAGAACCGACATTGTACGAATTATCTTTTACAGTTTTTATTTTCTTCTGACAACATCAACTAATTTTTGTTAGGTTACTGAGATAAAACATCTAATTATGTAATTATTTATTGTTATTATTTGTTTCTATATTTTTTCTACTTCTATTTTGGTACTTTAAACACGGGCGAACAAGGCCGTGGCTAAAGTACTTTAATCACTAGCTTTAGTCACGAGCTGGAACTTGGGTCTGTGCATTTGCCTACGGTGCAGCCAAAAACCATATGAAATGCCATGTGTCCGCGCGGCACGACATTTATAACCTTACATTTCTTAGTACATAGTATGCGAACGCATTTCGACGATAAAAAATACAAAAGTTCAAATACAAAACACCTCCGCGTGCAAATATACTGGAAGTAAAAAAATAGCGTAAGCATCACGTGGCTAAACGTGAAACACTAAACGTACTACTACAAATAATACTCTCGTTTTGCCACTTGATGCTTAAATACCCACTATTTTTCTATATAATTGTATAATACCATTATTTAACAATGCACTAAACTTTGTTTGAATCCAGATGTTGTCGACCTAAATTAATAATATTCGTTTTAGAAATCGTATCAAAGTTATAGTTAAATTATTTGAATATTGAAAGTGATTGCTTAAACTAAAAATATAAGAAGAAAATAAATCGTTAGACGCGCTCAGCTTTTAAATTAGTTGTTAGTTCAGTCATTCAATGCTTAAGTCACTTGTGCAGCATGATTATGCATAAAATATCAATACAAATTTATAAATAACAGTACATCAACCATCAACATGTACACATTGTGTATTTACGCCTTTCTGCCCAATGATTAGGCGAGAGTGCATCTAAAGTTTAATAATGCAAAGTATAAACCAATATTGGCAAGTATTTACCGTGCAGCGATTGATTTGCGCTGACAAAAGAAAACTGAGTGGCGATAGTAATCGGCTACCAAGCTACCAGCACGCTCGCTGACTTGCTGAACTCACTGAGTAGTGTAGCAGCCGCATGCGTAGCTACGTAGTAGGAGTGAGGTTGGTAGTATGTTTTATGTTCCATGCGCTCGTCGCGTAGTTTATCTTCAGTCGACGTTGTTCATGGTACGCGCGCAGACGCGTGTGAAACAGAACCGTGCGTCCACAAAACACGCGCAACTTACGCATTTATAGTGTGAAATATCTTTATACTTCATAATAGTTTAACGAAAACTTCGAAAAATTGGCGGTTCAATTTCTTGGACTTTAGTTTTCACGGAGGAAATTCCATACATTATTAAGGATTACCACTTCAAAGTGAGTTTGTTTGCTCAGTGAGAGAGCGATTTAGTGCAACTCAGAAGCAACCACAGCGAGATTAATCTTCTATCAAGGTATTTATTAGTTTGCAGTAACTCGATGACGTAAAAATTCTCGGAAAATTTATTATTGCGATTGAGCTCGACGATAAATTGTCGTTTGTTTATGGCGGATTTGGTTGCATCAGAGGAATGTGAACAAACAATATATGTGATTGTTGATTACTGTTTGGAAATATAGTAAAATAAATGAAAATTTCTTAAAATTATAAACTTGTCAGTGAAATCTTGATCCATAATTAAATTTTAAAATATAATTTGATCTAATTTGGCTTAGATTTATTGAAATTGTTTAGTTCTTAAATGGCAGTAAATTTAGTTATTTATTGCTCATTTTTATTGTTAAGTAAGTGCAAAAATAGCATTTCTAAAAGATGAGAAATTTTAAAATATTAATTTCTATTACATCACTTCATTGAAAATTAATTTTGCGTTTATGTTGACAAAATGATAATAAATTTTCGGAAAAACCTTCACATGATAATTATAGTTAGACACCATTCCAACAAACATCTAATTTGTAGATTTCACATGCATTCAGGTATGTTACTCGTCGAAATTTGCATAGTCGTAAACACATTCGTGGAATATTCAAATGAATCCGGGAAAATTATGCTTACATTGAATGGCATTCGCTACCTGCAACCAATATCCGATACGATTTTCACTTTAATTGTAATTTAATCATCGATTATCGCCTCATCGTCATACTCTCGCGAATGACGATAGCAACAAGCTACACACCAGCTAATAAATTGGAAAGATTAAATCGATGGCAAGTAGGTATAAGATAATGGAAGTGAGAAGTAATAATAAAATTGAGAGCGGATTGAAAGTGTGGAAATTGCTGTCGATGAAATTGTACTTTTATTGCGAACATTGATTGGATAGATTAACACCAATTCGAATCGTGTACGGATTTATGCGTGCATGGCAGTTTCTCCGATTTCTGTATATTATCTACTCATCAAAAACTTGGATCTTTGTTTTATTTCATTGAATGAACGCCTGTGTTAATATGTAATAAACAATAAATTAATGCAGACTGATGTGGTTATTAATATTAAAATATGTGTTTTGATTTAAAAACAAACAAGTGTAAAGGTATCGGTTGAAAGATGAAAGGAAACAAGCGGTTAGTGTAATTAGAAAACGATTAAACCTTCACTCTTCACTTTTTCCACTCTTTCAATACAATTTTCAACTCCAACTGGTTTATTAACGTGTTTTTGCGTGCTGACGATTTCTTTTCAAAAAAGTGCCATCCGCACATATTTATCCTTTTTTATAGTGAGAATCAACAAATAATTATTTTATGGTGTCTTATTAGCAATATAATTATCATCAGATCGTAAAATTAGGAGTACGTATATATAGTAGGTAATTATTATATTACTTTTCACTTTTGTACATCTTTTTAATGCGTACTTGAGTAATGGTATAGACGACATTTTAATTAAAGATATATTCTTTAATTCTTCAAATTTTTAAACGTTTATTCTCGTTATTCTCGTCCTTGCGCTCACGTCCTGTACGTCAATCGTTTTATCCGCGTACAAATCTTTCTCTAACTAGTTGCAAAGAAGTGTGAACCGTCCGGACATTATAAAATAAAAGAGATCACTTGCTCTTGTATAGAAACCAAGAATCAATGTTTATGTTTCCGTTGATTTGATGGAACAATTAATACACGTGCCAAAGAAATTCCTTTACCTTTTAGATACATTTCTAGTCGTTTCTAATCGTTTAGTTAATTAAATCTTCAAATTAATTGATACTTATGTTTTTATTCCTTTTCAATGCTTAGTCTCACAAACATCGAATACTTTTTGCATATTAATGATCACACTTTCTGTTAATATATTGATTGTAACTTTGGAAATTTTCTAAGCTAATTCTTATTCTGAAATTTGAACGGAACTATAAATATTCATGTGCACTGTTTTTCTGTGTACCTATAATTGATAAATATAATTATCTACGTGATTTCACGAGGGACGTGATTAACTTCAAAATGCTGCGCACTACTCACGAATCAGTGCCATCCGAATGAAACGCTGCTTTAGAGGAGGTTGAAATGCTTCAATTTCCGGTCAGTCGGGCGAAATGAAATAATTAACGAAACACGTGTTAGAAGAATTGAGACCATCCTTTTTTTTCCTTGTGGGTGCTTTCCGACCCATGTTGCTAAAACTATTAACGTGGAATTCTTGTTACAGGCGTTTTTGGGTTAGTTAATGCCATGTGGTTTACGATGATATTTGTGCTACTGGTGCTACTGTTTTCGTATTTAAATTAGTTTTGCTTTTAGTTAAGGGTCTGAGTTCGCTCAAACAAATTAATCATCAAGATTTTTTTTGTAAAAGTAAAACTTACAAACTGCTAAATTTTTATTGTTGTTGACAAGGCGTGGATATTATTATGTATTCATTTAAATAAATTTTAGATTTTTTTATTATCTTATTATTTACGCTCGGTAGGCACAATTTTCGTTATGTTTTACTTTGTCTAGATGACTTTTATTTTTATTATTCTATCATGTTGTAGTTGCTAAGCCATGCATCAACAATAATCGTAAAATTACCGAAATGCTGAATATTTTCATACGTCATGCCGCATTAGCCTGCGTTTGATATTCAAAACGTGCAATTTAAATTCTTTTCGATTCTTTTTGTGACAAAATTAATTATTGATAAAAATAATAATCCCACGCATGAATTAAATCTAATTTATATTTTAACTCAATCCTTAATTGAAGTTTTTAATTCCTAACATAATTTTATATGTACAATGTAAGTAGTAAACATGTACGATACTGCGCCTGGCGTAATTATCTATGATATACACATTGCATAGGTCGAGTTTGCGTATAATCTCCGGAAGCTAATTGTGTCCCACACAGGCACTCGCCATGCATTGTTTGTCAGTCGCGCATCCTCGCGTTGTGAAAATTTAGCACGCCATAATAAAGACGCTGCACAAAGCACACTCGACAGTTGGAGGTCGTCTCTGATTCTTGTGATTTCTTGCTATTTGCTACTCCGTGTGCCTGCGCATTGACGCTTAACGTTGTAAATGTAGTAAATGAATACTCGATTACATTTTGTGAACGTTTCTCGCGTTTCTCAAGGAAGTTGAAAAAATGCATTGTTGGGTGCTGGATTGTAATATTCAGCATCGAATCGATGATAAAGAAATTCCGAAGCAATAAAAGTCGGAACAAGCGTGAACAATCTATTTCATTCCAAAAAGATTGCATACAGATCGCACAAAATTACATTTTTTGGGTAACAGCTGGTAAAATGTCTTGTATTTGTTCCTGTAATATTTCTTGATGCAAAAAAGGACATTAATCATATTGTTACAATGTGCTGCACCGATTTGTAATACCAACACTTTGACAAAGCGTAACATCACATAATCAAAACACAAAAAGGACATCAAACATCAACGTCAGGTGGATAAAAAGGTTAATTTACTTTAAAGCGTTCGAAGTATGTAGCTTCTGTTGTGCTGCACTAATACATCGTACGTCACATGATTTTATTATGTTTTAAATGGTAAATTACACAATTTGAGACAAATTCTTCAGTAAGTATTACTTTTGTGCTTAATACAACGCAACTTTGAATATAATTCCTTGTGCGATTAGCACAATCTTTTCCATCTTTAATATATCGATGCCTGTCATTCAGAAATACTATTGATCTATCATGTCTCGGTTTATTTTCTTTGTTTTGTGTGGCGCGTTGAGTAATTTATTGAATAATGAACTAAGATGAACCTGTCTGATATCCTTCTTGTATTTTAAGTTTAACTTATCCAACTTGAATCGTCTTAATACCTCGATATCAAAACTATCAATGTGTTTTAATACGCCTCGGGGTACATGATGTGAAGGAATGTGGATTCTTCAACGGCGTAGTCTTACCTTGCTGGAGGCGCAGGAAACAAAACCTTAGCTACGTTTACACCGGCTTCGACCATTTGTATTTTTTATTTGCTTTGATAATTTGTTTTAAATCAAAATTTCAAATTATACCCATATGATATTTGCATATTTATCTATTGTCAATTTTCGCCAATAAATAATATACGTTTACATTGACGAAGAATATTTTAAAGATTTTCTCAAGTTGCGAATATGGTGATTATGGCCGAAGACCTTAAGTCCAAGATGTGACACGTCAAGCATAACAAAACGATACGCCACAAGGAGCACACTGCGCATACATTCCGCGAACCTCGACGAATCTTCACCTCACCGCACGTATTCTTATTACACTCGGACTGGTAAAGCACTCTTCGTGACAACATGTCGCAATGACCACGAAGGCGCCGAGCAATAAATAAAAGTGCCACAAATTCACCTCACTTGGTGACTGTGTTTTTACATTTGCGTTTTTCTCGAAGAAATAAAAAGTTCAATGAGCGATTGCGACACGCACGATGCTTTCTTATTGCTTGAGTCTTCTACGGCTACGCGATTCAGTTGAAGTCCAGTTCGTTTCACTCTCTGCCTGATCACTGGAAGTCATTGAGGAGGTGACTACATCCGCTCTTAAAGCGTTGGTTAACTTTTTCCGACGGTTCTATCAATGGAAGCACATTCCAACACGTTTGAGTTTGATCTGCCGCTGCCGGTATCCGTATAATTACTGTTTCATACCAGTAAATGGCCTAATAAGAAATGAAATATACAAATAATTATTTGGTTCTTTGTGACGTAACAAGTAAAAAGGCGTTAATGTGAGAGTTGATTTTCGAATTTTCGCACCAGTATCACATTTTTAAATTAAAGTAGGTAATTGTAGTCAAACGATACCAAAAACATATGGGCATAATAAAACGTAGGGCGACACATTTCCTGCCTGGATAATCCGTCCCGCAACACTGATCACGGAGCTTTCCGTCTGCACACGTACAGTACTCACACTTGCATCAAATAGGTAGGTACATCCGGAACGGTAATTGTAATCGGAACTGAAAACACAAAAGTCGGAACTTTATAGACA